TTCTGTGTCAATGTACTACTGCAACAGTTTTTGAATTATTTTCAGTAAAACTTTACGTGTGTAATATTAATGTTATTGCTCTATAATTCCCTGATCCCTTTAGAGTAGTTACGTGTGTATGGATCTCTTCCGGTCACTTGTCTTCCAAACACGAGTGAGTGCTTCCAACATTGCATCTGGTTGTTAAAACATCTCAACTTGTATTCTGTCGATTCCCAGAGCTTTATTATTATTATTTACCAATGCCTTCAAATGCTCCCTCCTGACGTGGTTGAACTTAGACCAATTATTTTCTGCTATTGTGCCTGTGTATCCGTTCCATTTTCTTTTGATGCTTAACACGGCATCAGGATTGGAGAAAGAATAATTAACAACTTGCAATATGCAGATGACATCCTTGCTTGTTGAAAGTGAAGCGTTGATAAATCTCTTACTACAGAGGTCAAAGACCACAGCCTTCAGTATGGGTTACACCTCAACATAAAGAAAACAAAAATCCTCACAACTAGAACCGTAGGCAAGAACATCATAAACAGAGAAAAGATTGAAGTTGTCAAGGATTTCATTTTATTTAGATCCACAATCAACGACCAGGGAAGCAGCAGTCAAGAAATCAAACGGCATAGTACACTGGGCAAATCTGTTGCAAAAGACCTTTAAAATGTTCAAGTATGTCATCCTGAGTACTAAGGTGCACCTTTATGATTCAAGCTATGCTATTTTCAGTTGCCTCATGTACATGTGAAAGCTGGACAATGAATGAGTAAGGAAGACCAACGAAGAATTGGTGTTAGTGAAGAATATTGAACATAGCATGAACTTCCGGAAGAATGAACAAATCTATCTTGGAAGAAGTACAGCCAGAATGCTCCTTAGAAGCAGGGAGAGTGAGACTTCGTCTCACAAACTTTGAACATGTTATCAAGAGTTGCCAGTCACTAGAAAAGGAAATCATGGGTTAAGTGGATCCTTGAAAAAGAGAAAAACCCTGAATGAGATCATTTCAAACATAGCAAATATTGTGAGAATGAGGCAGGATTGGGCAAGGTTTCGTTTTGTTATACATATAGTTTGATCTTTATGAGTCAGAATTGACTCTGGGTTCTTAACAACAAAACAAATGTTTGCTAGGTTTGGGGCTGGGGTATGGGATTGCAGGGGCTGACACAAAAACGGTGGGGGTAAAGAGAGGAGAGTTTGATCTTAAAGGGGCAAAAAGGCCAGCACCTCTAAGGAAGTACGGTCACATTCGCCTTCCTTCTTCCCTTCACTTTGGGAGGGCTGCGGGCGGTCTAGTTGGGGAGAAGCATCCATCTCTGGCCTGGCGCAACGAGGAACCAGCCAGGTCTTGATTTTCCGGAGCGCAGGGACAGATGAGAGGGTCTTCGGGACTATGCGCAATCTGGTGGTCTGCTGTGAAGGCCAGCGGGTACTCGAGAAGACTGTGCGGAAGACCCTCTATTTGGGGGAGGATTTTCTCGGCAGAAGAGGATCCAGGTCTCCAGCTGGGAGAGAAGACAAAGCAGCCAGGGAGAGGGACCAGGCTGGTGAAGCCAGGGGTTCATAGTTAACTCTCATGGAAAACTGTCTAAGAGCTATGGGCATGCGAGCGCCGCGGGTCCGGCGTGGAATTTGTTCCCTCTGTGATCTGAGACGCCGTGAATCCGAAAGAACGGATGGCAGTGGATGATGATCCGAGTAGAAGTAGAGCATGAGATGAGGGTTCACGCGGTGACAGATTTAGCCAAAAATAAATGTGCCTATTTGGTATTTAGACTTCTGGCGTGGCGCTGTGGACTTAGCATTGGACTGCTAATCATGGCGGCAGTTCAGACTCACCAGCTGCTCCTCAGAAACCCAAACAGAATCGCTATGAGTCGGAAACGACTCGATGGCACTTAAAACAACAACAACAAATTTATTATTTATGCACTCCTGGTGTGATGCTGTAGGATAAGCACAGGACTGGGAACTACAATGTCAGCGGTTCAAACCCACCAGGTGCTCCTCAGAGACCCTATCAGGTTAGCTATGAGTTGGAACCAAGTCCACAGAACTTAACAACAACAACCATAATTTTGCTATTTATAACATACAGAATAAACACTGATATGCAGGTGATACAACTTTTCTTGCTAAAAGCGCAGAGGACTTAAAATACTGCTGAAGATCAAAGAGCACAGCCTTCAGTATGGATTGCATCTCAATGTAAAGAAAACAAAAGTCCTCACCAATGGACCAATAAACAATATCCATATAAATGGAGAAAAGATTGAAGTTGTCAGACTTCTTTTTGTTTGGATCAATTCATGCAAGCAGCAGTCAAGAATCAAAGGCAGCATATCGCATTAGGCAAATCTGCTGCACAAGACCTCTTTAAAGTGTTTAAGAGCAAAGATACTGTTTGCGGACAAAGTAAACCTGACCCAAGTCATGGTATTTTCAATAACCTCATATGCATGTGCAAGTTGGTCAGTGACTAAGGAAGACTGTAGAAGAATTGATCCATTTGAGTTATGGTGTTGGAGGAGATTGTTAAAAGAATATTGGAACAAATCAATCTGTGTTAGTACAGCCAGAATGCTCCTTGGAAGCCAGGATGGCCAGGCTTCATCGTTCATACTTCAGACAGATTATCAGGAAGGACCAGTCCCTGGAGAAATGATCATGTTTGGTAAGGTGGAGAGTTGGAGAAAAGCAGGAAGATCCCCAATAAGATGGATCGACACAGTGGCAGCAGCAATGGGCTCGAACATAGCAACGATCGTGAGGCTGGCGCAGGACTGGGCAGTGTTTGGTTCTGTTGTGCATAGGGTCACTATGAGTCAGTGCCGACTTGATGGCACCTTACAGCAACAACGTATTATCAGAGTCCAGTGTGGTCTGTAGGATAAGTACTGTAAAGTCAGTTTGAACTGCAAAGTTGGCAGTCCAAACTCACCAAATGCTCCTCGGTCGCTATGAGTGGAAACCCGACTGGATGGCACTTAACAGCAAGGGTTAATGCGCCAGACTGCACAGCCTTTTGAACTGCAAGGTCGGCGGTTCAAGTTCACCAGCTGCTCCTTGGAAACCCTATACAGGGTCGCTATGGGTCGGAACCGACTTGATGGCACTTCACAACAACAACATGTATTATTATCATGTTTGGTACAACAGATGGTCAGTGAAAAAGAGACTGTGGCATGGGATGGGCAGTGTTTCCTTCTGTTGCACAGAGAGCTGCTGAGTTGGAAGTAACTGGAGGACACCTACCAATAAGCTTGTTGTTGTTGAGTGCCATGGAGTTGATTCTGACTCATAGCAACCTTGTATAGGGTTTCTGAGGAGCAACTGGTGGGCTGAACCTCTGACCTTTTGGTTAGCAGTCTAGTGCTTATCCTAGAAAGCCACACTAGGACCCCACCAACAAGATTACAGTTTAATAAACCATATGAGGCAGTTCTATTTTGTTAAAGAAGATCACTATGAGTCAGAATTGACTAAAAAATAACATATACATTGACGTATCCATGCGTTACAAGTATTAAAGACGGGGGTGGGGTGGGGAGGGCTGGTGGTACAGTGATTAGAGAGCGCAGCGATCACTGACTCAGTGGTTCAAACTCAACGGCCACTCTACTGGGACAGTTTCATACAGATGACAGCCTTGGAGACCCTATGTGACAGTTCTCTTCTGTTCTGAAGGGTCATCATCAGCCAGAATCAATTCAATTGCAAAGGGCTTGGGCACACTTAGAAATCAACATGTGTTAAGAGCTGTTGAGTTGGTTCTGACTCATAGCAATCCTGTATAGGGTTTCTGAAGTTGCTGGTGGGTTTGCACTGCTGACTTTGTGATTCACAGTCTAGTGCTGATCGTACAGCACCACACCAGGAGTTCTATACACACCTATAGCAAAAAATTAATGTACCTGTTTTTGAACTCCTGGTGTGGCACTGTATAGCGCTGTAAGGCAAGCACTAGACTGGAAATCATAAGATCCGAGATTCAAACCTACCAGCTGCTCCTTGAAAACCCTATACGGGAGGTTGCTATGAGTTGGAACCTATTTGACGGCAATGCACAACACAACAATTTGTTATTTAGGAGTCCCGTTGTGGCCCTGTAAGATAGGGTCGGTTTGAACCAAAGGTTGGAAGTTCAAATTCACCAGCGGCTCATTGGAAACCCTATATAGGGTTGCTGTAAATTGGAACCGATTCCACAGCACTTAGCAACATTTGTTTTTTTATGGACTCTTGGTGTGGCGTTGTAGGATTAGCACTGGACTGCTAACCACAAGGTTGGTGGTTCAAACCCACCAACTGCTCTGTGGAAATCCTATACAGGGTCGCTATGAGTCAAAACAGACTGGACGGCACTAAACAACAACATACTATAAAATTATTCGTTGCATATCTAAATTTTAAATCTAGTCCGGCGTCTTGCATTTTATCCGATAACCTCAGCTGGAGAAAAACACTACCACACCCCGGGCTTCCCGATCCCTTGGGTTGTTGTTAAGTGTAGTCGAGTCTGTTTCGACTTATAGGGATCTTGTAAAGGGTTTCCAAAGAGAGGCTGGTGAGTTTAATCCACCGATTTTGCGGTCCAGTGCTTTAACCTGCAGCGCCGCCCGGTTCAGCAATTCCGAATGGGAAAAACTGTGGGCGGGGTCCTTTAAGGACTAGCGTCGGGAGTTGCCGTGAACTATAAGTTCCACAATGCTTTGCGGCCAGCCGGGGCTCTGATAGGCTGCGCTGGCTTCCCGCCTTCCTCGGGTTTCCGGCTGTGGCGTCTGGCGGGCGGCGGTTGGCGTCTGCCGCGGCCATTGAGTACGCCCAGCCTGAGGGCGGACCGGGAGGGTCAGATAGAGAGAGGGGCGTGCCGGCAGGCGGGCGTGCAGACGCGGATCCGGCTCGTGCACGTCTTTCACGCTCCAGCCGCTCTCCTTTGGAGTGAGCCTTGTCCCTGCGAGCTGCTGAGACGAGAGCTCGGCCTGAGGGCGGCTACGACCATGAATTTCTCCGAGGTCTTCAAACTGTCCAGCCTACTTTGCAAGTTCTCCCCGGACGGGAAATACCTGGTGAGAGCTAAGCGGTGCTGGGACTAGGGGAACGATGGTAGGCGTCCAGCACAGCTGCTGTAACTCACTGGGTGGCGCGGTCGCCCGGGCTGCACGCAGGCGCTGGGTCTGCACGCGGATCGGGCTCTGTACCCACGAGCTGCGGGGCCCAAACCGGCCCGGCCGTGATTTCACTTCGTGAAGGTCCCTGCCTCATGGGGCTACAGTGAAGTAGTGCCGATGTAGCTTATGGGGCCGTGACACCCGTTGTTGGGATGCCCTAGAAAAACCAGCTTTTAATTCCACTAGCTTGTAAGCCTGTGAATTGTGTGGCTGCTTTCTTTTGCCTTCTTCCCTCACTCTCCTCACTTTCTCTCTATGTGGAGTACATAGTTTAAACTGTTTTCTAGTTTAGAGCCTTGCTTAAGACTGGGGAGAAAGACCTGGCGATCTGCTTCCCTAAATACTCACTCATATTACAGCCTAGAAAGTCCTGTCTCCTCTGTAAGATGGGGTAGCTGCGAGTAGAAAATCCATTGAAGGGCACCTAATAACATCAAAAGCCTTCTATCCCCGGAGGAAAGCAACTGTCAGAGCTGTTCATCCCATGGGGGTAGACTGGTTAAGCACTGGACTGCGAACCACAAGGTCAGCAGTGCAAACCCAACTCTAGCTGTAGGATTAAGCACTGGACTGCGAACCACAAGGTCAGCAGTGCAAACCCACCAACTTCTTGGAAACCCAATACATGAAACCCTATACAGTTGGTACTGGCTGGAAGACACTTAGCAGCAATTCTGAACATTATTCACTGTCCAACTTTCACATGCATATGAGGCGATTGAAAATACTATGGCTTGGGTCAGGCGCCCCTTAGTTCTCAAACTGACAATGAATCAGGAAGACAGTACGAGAATGATACATTTGAGTTATGTATTTGAAAGAGGCTATTAAAAGTACCATAGACTGCCGGAAGAACACACCAATTTGTGTTGGAAGAAGTGCAGCCAGAATGCGACCTAGATGGCCAGGATGAGGGATTTTGCCCCTTATCCTTTGGACATGTTATCAGGAGGGACCAGTCCCTGGAGAAGGATACCATGTTTGGTAAAGTGACCGTCAGTGTAAAAGCGGAAGACTCCTGACGAAGTGGATTGGCACAGTGGCGGCAACACTGGGCTCTAGTGTAGTAGCAGCTGTGAGGATGGCTCAGGACTCGGTGGTGTTCAGTTGTGCACAGGATTGCGATGCATTGACAGCACCTCACAACATTCTGAACATCCAAATATTCCATTGTGGCCAGTGCATGTCCTCTGAATCATGTGAGAGGTATCATTGATGTGGAACAGCCATTCAGGAGAAGACAGTCTTGCCTTTGAGACCATGTTGTTGTTGTTGTTAGGTGTCACTGAGTCAGTTATGACTCATATTGACCCTGTATAGGAGTTCTGAGATGGTAAATTTTTACAGGAGCAGACACCCTCATCTTTCTCTCACACACCATCTGGTGGACTTGAACCACTGACCTTGTGATTAGCAGTCCCGTGCTTATCCTACAGTGCCACCAGCACGCTTTAGACCATGTATTTAATTTCATTTACATCGTCTCTAGTAACAGACTGCTTCCTATGGGTCTGTATGAGCTTTGATTTCACATTCCTGCTATCCTTGTCTAGATGTTTCAGGATATAACTCATGTTACAGCTTTACCTTCTTTCTAGAAGAATTGTAAACTACATAAAATAGCATTCAGCTACAAAATAGGAAATGTCACCTTAGAAACTTCTGCGTGTTTTCCAAACTGCCCATCTGTAAATTCGTTTTTGATTTTTAATGAAAGTTCCAGTAAATTGTAAAGAATTTGGCTAAGTTCGGGGGCCTCTAACAGACAGATTGGCAGTTCAAATAGACCTAGCAGCCTAGGAGCCTGGAGGAGAAAGATCTGGAATTGCAGTTCCCATCAAGTTGGTTGTTTGCATGCTTCATTTTGGCACTCTTTTTATTTTCACACACTGATGAAAGTAATATGAGAACTTTGATAATATCCTGATGCTAGAATTATGTTCTTCAAAGCTCTAACCTCAATACTAGATAAAGTCCACATTGCCATTTCTAATATTTATAACAGATATGATATTATTTTCTAAACGTTGGCCAAAAGGTCCCATTTCATAAAAGAATTACTTGTGACTGACCAGTTTTCAGAGGTACAGTTTAACAAAGTAGGTATTGTAATACATATTTTTCTAATCTGCAGTTGTCCTCCCTGCTACTGTTTTTTAAAATGGAAGTTCATAAAAAACAAAGCAGTTATTTAGTTTGACTTTGATAAGTCCAAAAATGAAACAGTAAGCATTTAAAAATCAGTTCTTACTTTATTTATTCTAAAAACTGTGTAATAGAACCTCCAATTAGCAGATAGGCCTACACAGACAGAAATTATTTACTTAGATAGGGACATTATTAACAAATGCAGACCTATTGGTTTAGCTCTGAGTAAGACACTACACAAGAGTATTTTTGTAGTTTCCATCGACAACTGTGAGTCCTCTGGTTTCACCCTTTATAAATTTGAGGAAATTGCCTAAAATCGATGAAACTAGAAGACAAGTTGGTTATTAGATAGTAGATCACAAGAAGATCTTTTACCCTGTACTGTTTTCTACTTGAGCTTAATTTTTAACGTACACATAAAAAAGGAAGACAAATTTAAGTTCCAGTCCCCATCAAATCTCTTAGCGGCCCCATGTGTGTCTGAGTAGTACTGTGCTTTGTAGTGATATTTTTGGAAGTAGATTGCCAGGCCTTTCTTCCGCGGCACCTCTGAGTGGACTTGAACCTCTCACCTTGCAGTTAGCAGCTGAATGCATTAACTGTACCACTCAGGGACTCTAGCAAATTAAGTAGTGAGCTTAAAATAATCTTGTACTTTTATACCAAAGTCTAATTTAAAATCTAGCTTGTGTGCTTCAACTTAATCTTTATTCATTCATCTTCTTTTTATAATGGGTTACATAATTGATAAAAAAAACTATCTGGGAGGAAAGTTGGGAAGGAAACAGCTACTGCCCAGAGAGGAGTTTTGTAGAATCCACATCAAGTGTTGGGTTTTCATTTTCAGGCTTCGTGTGTCCAGTACCGTCTAGTGATCCGAGAAGTGCGCACTCTGCAGATCCTGCAGCTGTATACATGCCTGGACCAGATCCAGCACATGGAGTGGTCGTCAGACTCGCTCTTCATCCTGTGCGCCATGTACAAGCGAGGACTTGTGCAGGTCAGTGCTGCCTGTCTGACTGAGAAAGCTGAAACCCTCGCTAGAAGACCCCTGGGAGGCAGTGGCTTGATTCAGAGCTCTTCTAATTAAAAAAAAACAACAACAACAGACGGCAACACAGTTAACCAAGGCTAGTTTTCTATTAAAATTTAATAGGTTGCTTCGATTTGAACAATGTACTTTTTTATTGTGAAAGCGGTACAGTATTCTGTCAGTAAACACAACTCACTCACTCCACAGGAAGTGCTTGCAGACAGAGATACAGCAACCTGGACGTTAGGTGTTTTAGGAACTAGTAAGCTGTAGGGTTTTGTTGAGGTGATTGAGGGCTTAAGGATGGGAAAGCGAGAAAGCAATTTAAACTATAACAGTAAAAACAAAGTGCCGTCACCAAGCCACCTGCCTTCCTTTTGTGGTAGGATCTAGTCCCAGTCCTTCGTAACAAAAGGTTTCTTTAGCCATCCTGCGCTTTGACTAGATGCCATTGGTCACTCAGTTCTTTAAAGCTATGTGTCGCCTCTTGGAAAGGCGGTGCCTTGGTGTTGTGAGCTTTTGTGATGCTGTGTGTCTTCTGTGAGTCTAGGTCTGGTCTTTGGAACAGGCGGATTGGCACTGCAAGATAGACGAGGGCTCGGCAGGCCTGGTGGCGTCATGCTGGAGCCCGGATGGTCGCCACATCCTCAACACAACTGAGTTCCACGTAAGCCTGACTCCCTGAATCCGCTTCACTAGTCAAATGTGATCCTCACCTCTGACTCCTAAAACAGCTTAGGCTCTCTCAAGTGTGTGGTTTTTTAGTTGTTACTATATATAGGAGTCCTGGTGTGGTGCTGTAGGATAAACAGTGACCTGCTAATCACAAAGTCAGCAGTTCAAACCCACCAGCCATTTCTCAGAGGCTCTGTACAGGGTCACTATGAGTCAGAATTGACTCTATGAACTTAACAACAACTATAATATGTATCTTGTTGTTGTTGTTAAGTGCCGTGGAGTCGGTTCCGACTCATAGTGACCCTGTACAGGGTTTCCGAGGCTGGAAATCTTTACAGGAGCAGAAAGCCTCATCTTTCTCCCGCGGAACAGCTGGTCGTTTCGAACTGCTGACCTTGTGGCTTGCAGCCCAATTCGTAACCACTTGAGCATTAAAAACTCTTTAAGTATTGCTGAAGAATATTCTTGCCCAGTTTTGTTTTTTTTTTTTTTGGTAAGTTTACACAGCAAATTCAGTTTCTGTTCGTACAAATGGCATGACGGAGGCAGTGTCCTGCTCAGACTTCACGAGGGGGAGAGGGAATGGCTAGCCACATCAGTCCAAGGCTAATTCCTGTGAGCTCAGCAATACCTCCTCTCGCCAGTCGTTTTTCCAGTTCTGATGCCAGTTGTCCCCTCCCACACTCTGCTGGGTTTGATAATGTGTTGCTGTGGCCCACACAAAACTCCAAAGACCACACACACAGTTTTCAGATTTATTTGGGTGGGAAGTGTGACAGGTTATAATTCAATTTCAGAAATACACAGGAAACCGTTCTTCAGTCAGGAAAGCTTCTTTTCATCTGTGCCCCCAGGCAGGCCTCTCTGGTCGTTGTCTCACACCGACCTCTGCCCGGTTCATGCACCTGTTACAAAACTCTTTAGCTCTGCCAGTAAGTGCCAGGGGCAGCTCATTCCTCCAGGAAGCCTCCTGCCCAACGACATTTAGCTCTGGTTCCAAGGGCCAGCAAGCCTAGTATCACCAGCAAGTGCCTGGAGGTGTCCCTCTCATCTAGGAAGCTTCCTACCCAGACCCTCTCAACTCTCTTGTTCTGTGGTCATCACAGCACTGTAACCTCCTTGCACCGTCTCACACCATTCTCCTAGTTCTGCTGCTGCCATTTCTCTGCCACTGCTGCTGGCCGCCTTGTACTGTCTCTTGTGTTTCTCTCTGTCACTGGAGTCTAGGAGGTTTTCTCAGCTTAAGGATGCTAGGTCCACAGGATGTGCTCCACTCCTGTCTCTTCTGCTTGGTAGTAGTGAGGGCCCCCCTTCTACCTCTGGGATGGCTCATTTTAAGCCTGGTAGAGAATTTAGATGAGCACATTGCTATGCAAGAGGGCTTCAAAAAGTTTGTGGAAAAATCCCATTATATTTTTCTAAAATTTTTTACCCATTTTCTTTTAAGTTTTTATTGTGAATTATGTGATAGTTTACATGGGAGATTATTAGCTTTACTTTCATCCTATCTTATTTCCTTTTATTGCAATGATTACAATTCCCTACATGCATCATCAAACAACCAAAGGGTACACCCCACAAGCCTGCCCCCTGTCTGTCAACACATAGCCCATCTTCCTCCCTGAGTCCACAGAGTCCCCAGCCGCTCCATCTCTCTACGTCATCGTCTCTACCTCCATCTCTGGTATCCATTTCCTTTTATTTCTGTTTTTCCATAAACTTTCTGAGGTCCCTTGGTGTTTGTTAAGTTAATTTTTCAAACAATATAAGTTGGAGAAGACTGGTCTTCAGTATTTTTGCTTAAGTACTGGAATTGTCCTCTTTGCCAAAGAACCCTTGAACATACTATGGAAAAGGAGCAAGCTGAGAAAACTAATAATGTTGTCTCACCATTAGTATTTCAGTGTTTACTTCAATATGGCAGTACTTGAAAGCCTTTGGAAGAGGGTTTGGACCAGTGACTTTGTAAAGAGAACTGAAGTCTTCAGCTGAAGGCCAGTCGGTTGCCCTCTTGTTCTTTGTGAACAATCGCACATGCGGTCATGTCTCCCTTTGGTGGAGGTGCTGGTATGAAGCCTAATTAGCCCAGGAGATGGCCCTGCTCTAGCTTGTGAAGTGTCCTTCTAGTGGGGCCTGTGTGCTCACACCATGCTGCCACTGATTGGTCCTCATGTCTCCACTTGGACAGCTCAGGTTGATGGAGGCCTGTAGTCAACTACCGCCATTGTTTTTATTGTTGAATTTGTTTAAAGTTACAAAAAGTTGTCATTTAAAAAAACAAGAACACATTTTTTTTTTTTTTTTCCGTTTTGGGATGGGGATGAAGGACACAGCTGTCTTAAAGTGCTCTGTGTGTTTCCTGTCTCTCTGATGAGTGCCCCTGGACTCCATGAACTCTAGGAATACTTAGCTGCAGACGCTGCCCGCTGAGCAGCTTCCTCTCTCTCTTCATCAAGATAGTGCTGCAATTGGTGTAGTGCTTCACACTTAAAGACACTGCTGAAGCTGGGAGGGAAGCCAGAGCTCTTACTGGCAGTAAGCATCCCAGTGAGGGTCTCCACCCAGGGTCCACTTGGCTGGAATTCTGTGCACTTCCCTCTGTTTGATACTGTGGTGGCTTCTTTGAGTTTGCTGTTCCCAGGCCTAAAATACAATCGGTGTTTCAGAGGAAATAAATACTCCTCTGCAATACAAACAACCTGATTCCATGGCGTACCCTGACTTCTCGGGCCCAGCGCACCATCGCTGGCTTCTGGAGCCATAGTGCCTGCTCCACAGGTGCGTTTCCAGAACTTCTCCCCGAGCACCGTGTGGTATGTTCAGAGAGGCAGCCTCAGACATCAGTGTTTCTCTTCCATACCAAGCTGGTGTGGAGAAAATGTGCTCCTCACTTTGTAACCTGCTCAAAACTGGCCTAGCTTGCAGGAGTCACATTTGGTATGTGAATGTGGAGCCCTGCTTGTTAAGTGCTATCCAGTCGGCAATCCTGTGTAGGGTTTCCAAGAGGCAGTGGGTGAGTTTGAGTCGCTGACTTTTCAGTTAACAGCCCAGTGCTTATCCTGCAGATGTTATCAAACCTGACTGTGAGCAGAGATCAGCCGGTGTTCTTGAGCCTGAATGGTCCTGCTTGGCACCTAGTTTCCACCACATTCATTGTTCCCTCTGGCATCTGAGCTGGGTCTCTTCTGGGGAGAGGTGTTCCTCTCTGTGTATTTGCAGAGTTGTCATGAAAACCTGGAGCTAGGGTTATGGAGAGTGTTTTCAGAAATAAAGGATTTGGGAATTGTGGGCAGGAAAGATTGGTCACTCTCATGCTCTGTAGGGGCCTTGGAGAGAGGGTTTAGAAGTTTGTAGAAAGTCCATATGAAATGCCTCTGGAGGTGGTGTGTTCACAAGTGCTTGCTGTTTTGTTTTTTAGTTTTTTATCCTGAGTTGGGTGAAGCTTTACAGAGCAGATCTGTTTTCCAGTCAACAATTCGTGTACATTGTGTTTCAGCTCATTGTTTGCAATCTCCACAGTGTCATATCACTTCCTGTTTCCTAGTTCCTTTCTTCCACCTTTCCTAATCCTTCTGAATTTTGTCTGCTGGAAAATGCTGCCCCTTTTTTTATCCAGAAGCTTTTATTGTGACTTGAGTGAAGGTTTACAGGGCAGATCATCAGTTTTACATTCAACAAGTCATTGCAATGCTTATAATCGCCTCTGTGCACTATCAGCTAACAGTATCTACCTCTATTACCCCCCTCTTTGTGTGTGTATGATGTATATATACCACAATGAAAAGATAACTTGTTTAGATGTCCAAAGAGTACACTTTGTAAGCCAGCCTCCTGCCCTCAGGCACACAGCCTTTCTCAGTCCATGAGCCTGTAGTCCTCTGCTGATCTGTCTCTGTGTGCCGTCACCTCTGCCACCATCTCTGTTGTCGCAGCTTTTCTGGTTAGGATCCCTCATGCCTCTCAAAGTCCTTTACCCCGCATCACCAGATGGCAGATGGCCATCTTCCCCCACTCCTCGTTCTGACCTTAAGCACCCCATGAAAGTTTGAAAGACAGCCAATTATGAAGGAACTCTCATAGCCTAGTGGTTATGAGTTGGGCTGCTAATCTCAAGGTCAGCAGTTTGAAACAATCAGCGGGAGAAAGATGAGGCTTTCTGCTCCTGTAAAGATTTACAGTCTTGGAAACCCTATACAGGGTCACTATGAGTCGGAACCGACTCTACAGCACATAACCACCACTATATTAGATCAAAGGAGCTCTGGTAGTCGGGCTGCTAATCTTAATTAAGGTCAGTAGTTAGAAACTGCCAGCTGTTTCTGCTATCTTAAAGATTTACAGCCTTGGAAAACCCTTTACAAGGTAGCTATGAGTTGGAACTGATGCCACAGCACATAACCACCACCACTTTTGATAGTCGAAGTCTAAGTTGCCCATTCCTATCAACCCTGTGTACTAAGGAGGCATGCTTGATCCTTGATTTGCAGAAACCTTGCCTTTTGGTTGGAATTTTGGGTAACTTCATAAGTAAAGGTCCAGTTTATCAAGCTGTAGTAATTTACGCTTGCTCCCTGTATCAAACTTCTGTATCATCATCTGATCGAGTTCTGGTCAGCAAGCCATCCAAGCTAGGTCAAATGGGTGCTGTCTGAAAGTTTGGGAGTTCTCGCATGCCTCCCCCAACTTCAGATGACCTGGCTGCTTCACCCTTAACTCTGGCTCCCAGTGGCTAGGCCAGTGCCCTTCTGCTTGTGAGTTTACACGTCTCCCTGAACTTCAAACCAGCCTGCCCTTCTTCTTCTCTCTCTTACCTCAAGGTTATTAGGTATCTGGAACATGGCCAAACTCAGCCTATGTCTTCATTGCTGAATTTCCCACTTCTTCCACTCACCAGTTGAGCTGGGTGGTCACCAGCAAACCTACAAGACTGTTTTCTCTTTGGGTTTCAGTCATAGGAAAGGGTTTACCCTGATGAACTGACATTTCTTGCCTTGATGTCTTCAAGGCAAATAGCTTGCTTCCCCCCTACCCCTGTTGGTTTTCAAGAAGTATCTTCTGTTTGGCTTGGTCTGCATGTCTTTTCAATTGGGAATATCCTACCTCTGAAAGTTCTGAAAGGATTCCACTTAAGGCCTCTCTCTCTACAAAGGCTTAACAAGAAGCCTATTTGCATTCTGGTCCCCTTTAAGCTCACCGAATCAGTTATCCACTAAAGATGGGCTTACAAGCTTTCTGAATCATATCTGAATTGTATTTCCCAATAGTCCTTTCTATCTCACTTAAATGCGTATATTAACAATAGTAGGCAGGGAAAACCAATATCCACAAGATAGTCAAGCACCTTAACATTATTTCCCCTCCTTTACCCATTCAGACTATGTCTCCGTCTCTGTATCACAGAGCCCTGTTGTTCCAAGGCTGTGCATACATCACAGGCTACTTCTATCCCATTTAGCCCATGCAGACCGTCTAAGTCTTCCCCCATTATCCCTGGTCACCCCCCCCACACATTTCTTGTGCATTGCCCGCCCCCTCCTTTTTATTGCCCTCCCAGTCACCTGAGCTATCATGTATCTGTCCCCTAACCTCTGCCTTACCATCCCTTCCCTTCCACCTCTGGTAATGCTACCCTTTTGATTTCACATGGTTGATTATTCTAAGGTGGTCTTTGTTTTTTAATGTGTAGTTAACATATAACCACCACCCCCCCCACCCCAAATGATTTCAGTCAGTCCTGACTCACAGTAACCCCGCGTGTGTCAGAGCAGAACTGTGTTCCGTAGGGGTTTCTCGGACTAATTTTTCAGATGCACATTCTTCTGGGGCTCCTCTGGGTAGACTCAAACTGCCAGCCTTTCACTTAACCATTTGTGTCATCCAGGGATTCCTAATTTATACATTACATACATTTTGCACATACCAAACAATATATAATAAAAAAGAAAATGCAGACGACCCTGTGTTTCTCCCAGAAGTGGCTGGCTCTGGGCAATCTGTTAGAATGGTGTCTGCTTGCAGCCTTTTTGTGTGCTGCTGGTCAGCTCTCCACTCCCTGTGTGAGGGCCAGGTGGGTGGACAGTGATCACGCCAGAGCTCCTGGAGGAGCAGTGTGTTAACATAGAAGTTGACCTCCTTGCTCTGAGCGCTCAGCCTTCTCGCTATAGGGCTCTGCAGCCCAGATCTGAGCCATGGATCACGCACATGCAGAGAGAATGCTGACTGGTCTGTACAGAGCCTTCTCTGGTGAAGCAGTCTTCTCTCAGGCTCACAGCCAAGCTGTGGTTACTTGAAAATAACTCACTAATCAACTAATGTTGATATTTGTAACTCTGTGTCACTCAAACCATCATGTTAGAAAATGAAAACGTAACACCAAGAGCATTAGATTTGCTTTAACAACAGTGAAATGTCATTTGCATCTTTCTCTTAAGAGGGAAAACATTCACGGATCTATTCTGCACTTTAGCAGGAAACCTATTACATGGGAGCTGGGACTCTGAGGTGGTCTTTCTAGAAGTGTTAGATATAAACCATTGCCCTTGTGTATTTTCCCGTTCCCCACAGCTGCGGATAACTGTCTGGTCCTTGTGTACAAAATCTGTATCTTACATGAAATATCCTAAAGCTTGTCAGCAGGGTGAGTATATCACATCTACTCCAAAGCTATTTCTTTATAGTTGTTTGTAACCGTTTTATCATTGAGATACCAAACACAGGCAAAAGTAGCTTCAATGGTGTGTTAACTCATAGACAATCCTTTTTTTTTACTCTACACCTTAACCCCTAATCAAAAAAAAAAAAAAAAAAAAAACAACCCCCAAACCAAAGCCTTGCTGTTGAGAGCATTCTGAGTGTTGGGAGACTGTATGGGACAGAGTAGACCTACCCCACGGAGCTCCCAGTGCTCCACACTTTATGGGGGCAGATGGCCACATCTTTCTCCAGTGGAGTGGCTGGTGGCTTTGAACCCCTGACCTTTCGGTTAGCAGCCAAGTGCTTAACCACTGTGCCACCATGGCTCCTTAAGTATCTCCCAGACCTATTAATACTTTGTCTGTAAATACCCTTTTCATCTCCAAACAACAAGTACTTCCATGTAAAACAATCTCAGAGACCAGAGAGGGTATTTTTTCAGTGACATCAAAGAGGAATGAAGTTTGCAGGTAATTCATTCCATATACCTAGGTCACAGAGTTGGGTGTTCACATCCTTTCCTGTTGATGTCTCATGAGAGTCCCACCTCAAGCTTCAAATCCTAAATTTTCCATCTGCCTCTTTTTTGGAGTAATTTTGTAATCTCTTTGTAAACAGGAAATTGTAACCTATTGCCTGCAGGCATCACAGACGGATAAATGAGATGTGGTCTGTGGTTATTCGGAACCGTCTGTGAGAAAGGCAAGGCTTGGACAGAGCGTGCCAATGATGCAAAGTAATTGGGCAATTTAGAGCTAATTGGATGTCCCACTCTTGAATCATGAAATTACAATAGTGTGTCTCTTTCATTTAATCATCAAAGTGAAAGCGTTAGATAATTTGTATAACGTTCCTACTTTTCTCTCTGGCCATCTGAGATTTGGAAATTGTGCTTGAATGAAATGCAGTTGTGCTTTTTCATGCTTCATCTGGACACTGATCCATGACACGCATAGCTGCTCTGTTGTTGGGCATTCTCTGACTTCGGCCGAGTAGTCTGGACGGCTCTGTAAGCTCACACAGTGGGAACTGAGAGATTCCCCTTTATAACTAGTAACTTCCAGATGCACTTGATGGATTCATTGTCTTGCTCCCATGTACACAGAGTAGACTTGTTTGTCTTGCTCCCATGTACACAGAGTAGACTTGTTTTTCTTGCTCCCGTGTACACAGAGTAGACTTGTTTGTCTTGCTCCCGTGTACACAGAGTAGACTTGTTTATCTTGCTCCCGTGTACACAGAGTAGACTTGTTTATCTTGCTCCCGTGTACACAGAGTAGAC